CTGTTCCATCTCCCTCCATTGTTACTTTTGCCTAGTCAGGTACTGCTTCCACTTGTTTATTGTCCTCCACTCGAAGTCCTTGGATCATAGACTCTGGAACCTCTGACCACATGACTGGTGTGTCTGATATTTTTTCTACTTATAAGTCTGCTACTTTCACATGTAGTGTTACTCTTGCTAATAGTATTTGTTCTAAAGTTTCAGGTTTGGGAACCACTCACTTGAGTCCTGACATGTCCCTATCTTTCGTGTTATTTATTCCTCAATTTCCTTTTAGTTTACTTTCCATTAGCAAGATTACTCGTTCTCTCAATTGTTCTGTAATCTTTTATCCCTCTTATTGTGTCTTTTAGAATCTTTGTACGGGGTATGAAGCTGGTAGCCTATATTACCTGGACTTTGATTCACCTACCCGGCCTCTACAGACCTCGTTGTCTCCTTTTCAATGGCATTGTTGTCTTGGACATCCCTCTCTCCAGAATCTGAAACGCCAAGTTCCCAGTCTTAATTATTTGTCGTCTATGTCTTGTGAAGCTTGTCAACTTAGCAAGCATCACCGTGTGTCATTTCCATCTAGAGTCAATTATCGTGTGTAGTCCATTTGAATTAATCCATTCTGATGTATGAGGTCCAATAAAGAATATTTCATCTAATAAATATCCTTATTTTGTTAGATTTGTGAATGACTATTCTCGTGTGAGTTGGTTGTTTTTGATGAAAACTCGGTCTGAATTATTCTCTATATTTGAGATTTTTCGCAAGGAAATAAAAACTCAGTTTGGTTGTCGTATACGTACTTTACGTTCCAATAATGCTCGGAAATATGCATCTGATCCTTTTTCAGCTTATCTTAGTAAAACTAGCATTATTCATCAGACTTCTTGTACTTACACCTCTCCACAAAATGGTGTTGTTGAACGCAAGAACTGTCATTTGTTAGAAGTCACCCGGGCCCTGTTATTCCAGATGAATATTCCTCAATATTATTGAAGTGATGTTGTTCTTACTGCTTGTCATCTTATTAATCGTATGTCATTTTCTGTGTTAAATGGGCAAAGTCCATATTCTGTCATTTTTCCTGATAAGCCCTTATTTTCCCTGACTCCTAAGGTTTTTGGTTGTGTCTGTTATGTTCACAATTTGGGCCCTGGGTTTGACAAACTTGACCCTCGAACTACCAAATGTGTATTTCTTGGTTACTCCCACACGCAGAAGGGGTATCGTTGCTACAGTCCTTCTCTGCACCGATATTTTATTACTGTCGATGTCACGTTTGAAGAATTCGTTCCATACTTTCTAACACCTTCTCAGCCTTTGGATCTGGACTTTGGATCATCTCCTGTACCACCATCTCTTTCCTCATCGTCAGATATTCCACTGCCCACTGTGTTACCAACTACTTTACCTCTCCGTGTCTACTCTCATCGTCCTTGCCCATCTACTGAGGTGCTCGTACCATCTTCCTTGTCGCCTTCTGATCCTGGTACATCAGGTAATTTAGACTCTTTACCTATTGCTTTTCGCAAAGGTACTCGTTCGTATATTACTAATCATCCTGTTTCTCATTTTGTTTCATATAATGCCTTGTCTCCTGTCTTCTCCTATTGTACTTCCCAATTATCTATTATATCTATTCCTAAGTATTTACAGGATGCATTATCTGATCCGAGTTGGAGGAAATCTATGGAGGAGAAGATGGATGCTTTACATCATAATGGGACTTGGGACTCATTCATTTATCCTCTGGTAAACAAACTGTTGGCTGTCATTGGGTGTATACTGTTAAATTTCATCCAGATGGTTCTGTGGAGCGTCTCAAAGTCCGACTTATTGCAAAGGGCTTTACTCAGACTTATGGTGTTGATTATGAGGAGACTTTTTCTCCTGTTGTCAAAATTTCCTCTGTTCGCATCTTGATTTCTTTGGCTGCTAATCTTGATTGGCCCTTGTTTCAATTAGACGTCAAGAATGCCTTCCTACATAGTGATTTGGTTGAAGAGGTATACATGGAGCAGTCACCTGGGTTTAATGCTAAGGGGGAGTATGGGAATGTACGTCAGTTAAAGATATCTTTGTATGGTTGAAGCAGTCACCGATGGCATGGTTTGGTAAGTTTTCAGATGCAATTTTAGAGTTTGGTCTTCTTCGATGTCAGACATATCATTATGTGTTTCATAGACAGACAGATGTTGGATATGTCCTATTGATAGTCTATGCAAATTATATTGTGATTACTGGAAATGATCCTGATGGGATTGTCAAGTTAAAAATATTCTTACAGGATCGATTTCATACTAAGGATTTGGAAAAACTTAGGTATTTCTTAGGTATTGAGGTGACTCGATCTAAACAGGGTATTTGTTTATCCCAGATGAAATATGTCCTTGATATGCTTGAGGAAGCAGATTTGTTGGGTGGTAAACCGATTGATGTTCATATGGATCCGAATCAGAAATTATTGATAGATGATGGTGAATTGTTTGAGAATTCGAGTCGGTATCGTAGATTGCTTAGGAAGCTTAATTATCTCACTATTACTCGACCGGATATTTCCTATGCAGNCCGCTCTTGTACCACCATCTCTTTCCTCATCTTTAGATATTCCGCTGCCCACTGTATTGCCATCTACTTTATCTCTCCGTGTCTACTCTTGCCGTCCTCGCCCATCGACTAAGGTGCCCATACAGTCTTCCTAGCCGCCTTGCTCTTCGCAAAGGTACTCGTTCATGTGTTACTAATCATCTCATTTCTCATTTTGTTTCATATGATGCCTTGTTTCCTGTCTTCTCCTGTTTTACTTTTCAATTATATGCTATATCTATTCCTAAGCATTTACAAGATGTATTATATGATCCGGGTTAGAGGAAAGCTATAGAGGAGGAGATGGATGTTTTACATCATAATGGGACTTGGGATCTCGTTCCTTTACCCTCTGGTAAAGGAATTATTGGTTGTCGTTGGGTGTATACTGTTAAATTTCATCCTGATGGTTATGTNGGAGGAGATGGATGTTTTACATCATAATGGGACTTGGGATCTCGTTCCTTTACCCTCTGGTAAAGGAATTATTGGTTGTCGCTGGGTGTATACTGTTAAATTTCATCCTGATGGTTCTATGGAGCGTCTCAAAGCCCGATTTGTTGCAAAGGGTTTTAGTCAGATTATGGTGTTGATTATGAGGAGACTTTTTCTCCTGTTGCCTAAATTTTCTCTATTCGTATCTTAATTTCTNGTTGCAAAGGGTTTTAGTCAGATTATGGTGTTGATTATGAGGAGACTTTTTCTCCTGTTGCCTAAATTTCCTCTATTCGTATCTTAATTTCTTTGACTGCTAATCTTGATTGGCCCTTGTTTCAGTTAGATGTCAAGAATGCCTTCTTACATGGTGACTTGGTTGAAGAGGTATACATGGAACAGCCACCTGGGTTTACTACTTAGGGGGAGTATAGTAAGAGTGTATATCGGTTAAAGAAATCTTTGTATAGTTTGAAGCAGTCACCATGGGCATGGTTTGGTAAGTTTTCAGATGTAGTTTTAGAGTTTGGTCTTTTTCGATGTCAGACAGATCATTCTGTGTTTCATAGACAGACAGATATTGGATATGTCTTATTGGTGGTCAATGTAGATGATATTGTGATTACTGGAAATGATTCTGAAGGCATTGCCAAGTGAAAAATATTCTTACAGGATCAATTTCATACTAAGGATTTAGAAAAATTCAGGTATTTCTTGGGTATTGAGGTGGCCCGATCTAAACAGGATATTTGTTTATCCCAGAGAAAATATGTACTTGACATACTTGAGGAAGCAGGTTTGCTGGGTGGTAGACCGATTAATGTTCCTATGATCCGAATCAGAAATTATTGATGGATAATGGTGCATTGTTTGAGAATCCAGGTCAGTATTGCAAANGGCCCGATCTAAACAGGATATTTGTTTATCCCAGAGAAAATATGTACTTGACATACTTGAGGAAGCAGGTTTACTGGGTGGTAGACCGATTAATGTTCCTATGATCCGAATCAGAAATTATTGATGGATAATGGTGCATTGTTTGAGAATCCGGGTTAGTATTGCAAATTAGTTGGGAAGCTTAATTATCTCACTATTACTCGACCGGATATTTTCTATGCAGTCAGTATAGTAAGTCAGTTCATAGGATGTCCTAGAGTACCACATTAGGAGGCATTTACTCGTATTTTGCGATATCTCAAACGAGCTCTTGGACTTGGACTGTTATATCGAGCTAATGGACATCTTAGAGTGAAAGGTTTCTCAGATGCTGATTAGGCAAGCTCTCCTTCTGATCGGAAATCAACCACTGGTTATTGATCTTTCTTAGGAGGGTATGTTGTCTCATGGAATAGTAAGAAACAACCCATGGTAGCAAGATCCGGTGCTGAGGCTGAGTATAGGGCAATGACACATACGACGAGTGAGTTGACTTGGCTACTACACTTCCTCCAGAAAATTGGGTTTTCAGTTCAACTTCCTTTACAATTGTTTTGTGATAACTAGGCAGCTATCCATATCGCTGTCAATCCTGTGTTTCACGAGAGAACCAGCATATTGAGGTTGATTGTCACTTTATTCAGGACAAGATAATAGTCAGGGAGATTACAACTCCATTTGTGAAATCTGATGATCAGCTTGCAGATATGTTTACAAAAGCATTGAGTCGTACACGTCTTACAGCTATTTGTTCCAAGCTTGGATTATATGATATATATAGTCCAGCTTGAGGGGAAGTGTTAAGAATAGTAGGATAGTATGTGTAAATTGTTAATAGTAAGAGGGTGTATGTATAATTTTTATTATTATAGGTTAACTATAAATACAAGTGATATATGAGAGCTAGGTTAAGTTTTTAACCTCTCTCTTTGTCTCTAATATGATGTTAATCCTCCAAACTTAACATAAACAATTGATGGATGTAGATTAATCATGCAGAACAGATGTTGATAAACTCGCTGCATCGAAGTAGAAATCTTACATTCAGCTTAAAACAACCACTTGCACAATACAAACCTTTCTGAAAGCCAAGCAGATCCTTCCTCAAATAATTCCTCCACCACGTCTGGCTCAGAGTATTCATTATCTATTTGACAAGATGGCTCAGGACTCTTTTTGCGGAACATGGACTTGAACACCCCTTTACCCAGTTTCTTTGGTGGTGGCAAAGGAGGAGTTGTCTTCTCTGGAGGTTGTAAATCAATCACAATGCAGGTTGTATCATCTCGTAGTCCTTTGACTTGCACAGCTTCCTGCATATGAAGCACAGAGGNTCAATCACAATGCAGGTTGTATCATCTCGTAGTCCTTTGACTTGCACAGCTTCCTGAAGCACAGACGTGAGGCTACATTTACGAATGAGCAAAAAAGTATGACGAATAGGAACAAAATTGTATCTAGAACAGGGGACAATTGAAGTTGTAGAGTACTTTAACTATTTGCGAAGCGGCAGAATCAGGTGGCATCCCACGACAACATTCAAGAGCCATTTCCGGAGTTAAAGCATCCCAAACGCCATCACTTGAGATAACAATCCTGCCACCAGCTGAGGATAGCTGAAAAAATATCATCAAAAATTAGGCCAATGGCATTGGCATTCTGAAAAAGCACTTCTGGCACTTCAGAAAGATAAGCCTTTACACTATTGTTTTACGTACTAACATCATTTACTAAAGTTTATCAAAGGGTAGCCCAGTAGACGAAGATCCTGCCACTACAGGCGTCTGGGGATGGTCAGATGTACCCAATGCAAAGAAGATGTTTCCATGACACAAATCTTCATCATTTATGGTTATAAACCAGAATTCATCAAAAACAAAATTACACAATTTGCAACAATAATTTTAGTCCTCCTTCAGAAAACATTAATAAATGCCAGCAAAGATGAAATTATAAATGCATCTGAGAACGAAATTTATTGCACGGCCATATGCCCACATATGCTCTTATATTCTCTATTGAATGTTAAAACCTATGCTCTTATATTTCCTTTTTCTAGACGGGACTACTACTCTAACTAGTCTAATAAAATATGGTGCCACATATAAACTAATTAGGTACAGTGTTCATAAATGTCAGCTAAGGACATTCTGGTGAATGGAGAGATCAAAGATCTAATTAATAGAAACCTCTTCCTCTACCTCCACAAGCATTTCTTCTATATATCCTCGTCGAAATGGGAAAGAATGTAGCTCTACACATGATCAACATAGTGATCATTTAATAATGGTCAGTGGACAACATAAAGATTGAATAAGTTCTTCCAGTTTTGCAGCATGGAAGAGGATCACTCAACATTAATATATGCCATTTTGCTACTCGCAGTGGGATAACATTTGATATTTTAGATAGTTGTAGTTGTCTTTATATATTGATCTAAATTCAAGCAAAATAAACTAATTGTAGGCTGTTGAAATTCTATATGTCACAGTAGTTTTCAGAGCAAATGAAACAGGATAAGTAATGATGACTATAAGAAACATGAAGACGGCGGTCCTTCACAGAACTGAATGTGCCTTGTAAAAGAAAGAAGTAACTACTACTGCTAAACCTCAGTTTTTACCAGATCCCAAATATCACACAGGCAGAGATAAATGCAAGAGAAGCACCTGCTATGGAACATATACTATTCGAGTAATGAGTAATCATTTTTCAAAGGAGGTGAAGTTTGACAGATTCTCAACTAACCATTTGATTTAAGAGATTATGTGTTTTAGGAGGGGGGGATGTACAGTCAAAAACAATCCAGTTCATCAGGGAAAGTAAATAGAGGCAAACAATATTTCTAATTTACATTGATTCTCTCCGAAAGCAGCAAGATTAGTTGCAAACCTTCACTTGCTTTACATAAGGAACAGGAACTATGAACTCGCCAACATCCATATCTCCAATAGATCGAGACAGGCACAAGCCACCAGGCCAACATCTCAATGGACCAATCTACCATCAAAGCAATATGCAGATAAGACAACCCAATTTATCAGGCTTTTACATCATATACAAAAGTCGATGCAAAGAAATCATGAGAAATAATCAAAAAAAGCACAAAATTAATCATTGACAGGAAGCTTTTAGATACTGGAGTTCCTTATGCTAACCACATAGCAATCCAAGGTATAATGTATTTCCACTACAGAGTAATCAGCATGTATGGGCAGATTGCCTCGTTATTGTTACGTATTCCTTCTAAAAGACAACTTGATGCATAGCAATGCCCATCAATAAATCATTAGCAAACTGCATTTTAAACTTGAACTCCGGCACATTTTCTTTTTTCTCCAAGCATCAATGATCAAGGACCGTAATTTTGATTATTTTCCACTAAAATGACTGAAACGAAACGAAAACGAATCAGTAATTGAATATTGAAGTTTCAATATTTCGAGGGGTTTTAAGATGTTTTAACAAATTTTTCAAAAATATTTGGAAAGAATTTTCAATTTTCTATTGTTTTTATTCTGTTTCTAAAACACATTCGAAATGTTCCGTTTTCGCACAGACTAAAATTATGCACCAAAACAAAATTTGGATCCCTATCATTCATAATAGTTGATCATATCTAATAATTGATAGTTTGGCCTACTTCCCGAAAGAAAACTCAGTGCTACTGCTAATCAATAATCAACGNAACAAAATTTGGATCCCTATCATTCATAATAGTTGATCATATCTAATAATTGATAGGTTGGCCTACTTCCCGAAAGAAAACTCAGTGCTACTGCTAATCAATAATCAATGCTACACAGGTCAAAATGACCTTTCCAGCTTAATCCCCATCAATCAAAGATGGTGGCATTATTTGCACAAAATGATCTCAAACTTGAACCTACAACCTCACATTGTTAGGCCGACACTTTTACAACTGCATTAGGCAATGGATCCTTATAGTATTTAATGTATGTTTGGTGAAGAAACTGAGGCAAGCAACTAGAGCAGCTATAAATAGTAAAGAGAAATAGAATAACCAAAGTGGAATTCAAATATACCGCTGTACCACCACCAGTCTTAAGCCGACCAACCTCACCACCACTTGTCGTAATGCGTTCCCTCCTAATTAAAGATTGCAAAATAAGCCCTAATTTCAGATACCAATATGAAGTGATACATCAGATGCAAAATATATCAACTTACTCTTCTTCATTGCATTCAAGTCTATGATCTGCTGACAGATGAAATATACCCCCTTCTGCAGATTCAAGTATGCAACGGGAGTCACCAACTGAAGCCACAGTCACAACCCATCCTTCTATTATTACAAAAGTGACTGTTGTTCCTGAAGTTTGTGCTATATGATTACAACAAGATGTCAGTATCACATATGAATATTAAAAGCAGGGAGAGAGCGCTACAACAGACACAATGATGTTATGAATGAAACTAAGGTACTAAAAAGTAGCAACAATAACACCAAATTTGACAAAAATACTTAAAATGTATGTCAAAACTGAAAGGAAAAACAACAAAGATCACATGTTGAACTCAAAAGATAGAATCCAAAGATCAAGTTAATGTTCCCTACTACACATGTAGGAGTAGTGAAAACCTAAAAACTAAAAAGTAAATGGAGAAAAAATGCATGAGATAGTAAACACAAAAAAATACACAGAAATACCCAAGCAATTAGAACATTTATGCGTGCCACATTAACATAGAGATACAAGATTCAGATCTAAATCCTAGCAATATTGATAACACAATCTATACAAAAGCTGCAAAAAGAGCTTAACATCATTTAATGCCACATTTACATTGACATCCCTCGTTGTTTCTCAAAATTTGCTAATCTTTTTTTTTTCCTGACATAACGTTAGCACCTAGGAAGCACAAATACTTCCCNCACATTTACATTGACATCCCTCGTTGTTTCTCAAAATTTGCTAATCTTTTTTTTTTTTCCTGACATAACGTTAGCACCTAGGAAGCACAAATACTTCCCAGAGGGGAGTCGTGGCAGTGTCGGACACATGTTTGATATGGACACGCGTCGGACACAACCAAATACGTGTCGGACATGGTTAGAAGTATCTTAAATAGTGAACTCAATCAGACAAGGCCAGTATCGGATACGACACCCATGTTCGTATTCGTACTTCTTAGATTAGCTCCCTATTGAAGTTTGTCATCCCAACTGTGTTAGCGACCGAGTTGTTTCTCTAATTGTATCCTCTTATTTCTTACACAGTTTGAGTTTTGTTTGAAATAAAAGATAATTGTATCCTTATTTCTTACAGAGTTTGAGTTTTGTTTGAACTAAAAGAAAAAAATTTAGATCTCGGCCACCATGGCCAACTACGGGTTCCGTTACAAATTATAGGCCAATCTGGTCTTGCAACTTGAATTTGGTCTGAATGGGAAGAAACTGGAGCTTTAGAGGTTACATTTGGTTTGAATGTGAAAAGTGTAAGGAAACTTTCAAGCTCAAATTCTCCTTTTTCTGTGAATGGTGCCTCTAGCCTAGATGGTTTTGGGGTTTTTATGTTTTGCTAGTTGACAGCAGTGGTGGCAGTGACATTCATCAGTAATAGAATATGAGCTTTAACTTTTATATATTTTATTTATTTTTTCAGTTTTGCGCTTCAAGTAGCGAATTGGTTTGAGAGATAAGTTAGATGATATCAACATATACTAGTTGTGAACCTAGTGTTTGCCTACTAAAAGGATGATCTCTGCAGTATAAACACAACCCAACAAAGGGGTTTGGTGTTATTTAAGGAACAAGGATACCCCTGAAAACAACAAGGGGGTGTCACTTGCCAGTGTAATTGTCCCAAGTTATGAATAGGTAACAACATGAGAAACTAACAAACACGTACACTATCTCAATAAACTTGTAATAATTCACTGGGAATTAGATTTACATTGCATGATTGTGTTAATTGGTGCATGCCTCATAAACTCTACTATCCAAAACCACTAATAGTTTTTGTTCTTCAACAAGTTCTATGGCAATAATAATGACAACATTTTTTTTAACTAATTTTTTTATATTATACCTGTTCTCTGTTATCCAATGTAAGTTTTCTCCGTGTCAAAAAGATTTTTTCAATTGTTGTTGCCTAGAGGTGGGTTGGGGTGGACGACATACATATTGCATGGGAATGGTGATATTGAAATGTATCCAAATTTCTTTTTCTCAATACCTATGAAGTGAACAAAAGAATAAAATGTTGGGCCAATTTACACAAAGAAAGATACTATAGTAGCAAGTAGCAATTACATATCAATATATCGGTGTCAAAATATGCATTTTTCTTGCATAACCTTCAGACATTCTTCGGTCTTTCAACCTTGTTTATCTCTTTCTCTGCTCTATAATCAGCCTCTATTGATGTTAAGAGGGCTTTCACATAATGGAGAGTGGTGACCATAATGATGGGTTTGCTAACCAAAAAGTGGATGAATTATATGAAATTGTTATCTAAGGAAAGAAGATAAATCAATACTATACAATACTATATCAATAAAAACAAACGTGGTATACATAAATGTTGTAGGTATACAATTACATGTTGTTGCATGTATTTGTTGAAATGATTGTTAGTTCACCTGTAGTGTAGATGATTATTTTAATCTTGACTATGGGCACGTTTCTGGGTTATCCCAGTTATAACAAGCAGAATGTCCCAAAGAACTCGAAGGCTACGCTGGCAATTCTTTTGTACTTCAACTAGATCTCAAATCTAATGCAGTTCCAACTTAAGTTATATACAGGGCCTCTAAATCATCAGATAGCCACACTGCATATGCCAACTTCAGAAGATTTGGAAAGCAAAGTACTCTTACCCTTATCTTGGAAATCTTTATCTGTTTTTACAAATCCTGCAACCAAAGCCCTCGGCAGTGCCGCAACCCATTCATCTTGATTGAGTTCTGGTGGGACAGCACTCAAAACATTGTTTAGGAGATTCTCCTTAGAGTATATTGCAGCTGCAGATCCATTGTGTCCATCAAACAACTGCAAAACAAGGTCTAGTAAGAACAAAATATGAAAAAACATATGGGAACTATGAATAACGTAGAAGCAATTAGAAGTGCAGCCAACAGTCAGAAACAGTTTTGTATGTAGTTTTCTTTCTTTTAAAATCATCCTCCATTCCAATAAAATCATAAACACTTTTTTAAGTCTCCTTACTCTAATGGTCTATCTCCTCCCATTGTATGAACATTTTAGATCCACCAATAAGATATCATGGAAAGTTGATTCAGCAATTCAAGGCTCAAAAGCAGAGTTATAACTTATAACAGTACATCAATCAAAACATACCCCAAAAACAGAATATGTAGTAACCCCATCTCCTAGCACCCGTTGGCATTCGGTCTTCAGGAAAGTAAAATCCTCCCCCTTCTTGCTTTGGTTAGCCTGGCCATGAAATATCTCCGGCCTCTCGATCTTTTCATTGGCCAATTCGCGCTTCAGCAACACCGATAATGGGATCGCCTGATGTTCACCCTTGGATGACATTGTTCGGTCTCTTCAAATCCAATTTAAGTGTCTTTCTAAAAACTCACGTATTCCTCCAGTTATTATCACTCACTCGCTTTGATCAGCACAAATCCAAAAGAATTCCTAAAACAACAACCGAACAAGTCAGAAATCCTGAAATCAAGATACCGCTATATTCAGTCAAATTTATCGCATATTAACTACATTAAATTTAACATACATCTAATATAATTCAGAAAATCCTAACAACTCGAACGTCGAATTACAAATTCTAACGAATTTAAGCGTGCAACATGAACAATTGATTAAAACAAGCCCTGAAACGAAAATTTGCAACAATGCAGGTGGACAAAACGTTAAACTTCTACACAAAATATATGAATCGTAACCGCGGAACAAGAAAATCGGGATTACTAGGAGCGAGAAAATGAAAAAAAAAAAAATACGGAAATTTCAATAGATGATTGAAATTGATAATCAGCCGTTGCAGTCATCGAGAAACGCAAATCCCGGCGTTTCGCAGCGAAAAATCTCCGTCGAATTCGTATTGTATTGTAGAGAGAGAACAATGTTTGAGAGAGAGAGAGGGGGAGAGAGAGAATGAAGAGGGCGTAATTGTAAATAAATCTGTTCGTCTCTATTTTTTTCCAATTCTTCCATGTGCATTGCTGACGTGTCCAAAACGCACCGTTTGTAATTCGTCGTATCGTAAAAAGCAACTGCCGAATCTGAACAGTAAGCGTGTATTTCACGTGCGTGCCTTTGGACACCGAATAACTAATTTATGTTCGTGGGCCCATCCAATGAAAGTGTATTATTTTTTACACCCCTAAAGTTTATCGCTTAATCATATACACCCTCTGACATTTGGATATTACACTCAGACCCCCTGTCAATTACTGTAGGTTAATTAGACTTAACTAAAATTACAAAAAGACTATTATACCCTTTGATAAAAACTGAAGAAAATCAATCCCAGCCGTCAAACTCCAATCCAAGCTTGTACCCGAAACCAAAAACTAACCCAAATGCATGCAAACCGTACCGCAAGCAATATATCCTAATTCTTTCTCTCTCTCTCTCTCCATGGTCCCCTGGGGGGGGGGGGGTGTTTTGAATCTTTGAATAGACTTATACAGATAGAGAACCAAGAAATCATAAGCAATGTTGTTATCTCATAGAATTTTTACGTATATTTGTATGATTAAGATATTTTCTATAGAATTGGCTAGGTAGTGATTTATTGTTCCTTGAATTTAGGTCTTGGTATTTCTTTTTGTTTTTTTTTATTCATATCTTCATTTGCAATAAGCCATTAAAGTTCTTTGAAATTTCTCTTCATAAAAAAATTTGGTGGGGGCTATTTTCACCCCACAAATATTTATTCACACTTCATTTAATTTCTTATTATTAAACTACTAAAATCACTCATTCTATACACACTCATTAATAACTAAATTCATTACATGCTTTATACACCCTTTTAATAAGTAATTTAAAAATAAAAATAAAAAAAGAAAGAAAAAATTATAAACAAACATCCAAAAGAAAATAAGGAAAAAAATTATTTTTGGATAATGTTAGTTGAATTTAATCATTTTTTTAATTTGATTATCTCATTCATTATTGCCAATAGGTTGGTGTTGGACCACATCTAATATTGGTGATAGTGATAGGGCAAAGCTAATGTTGGTATGGATTTAAATAAATAAAAGAAAAGACAATTTTTGGGTTAGAATCTATGTGTAATAGGCACAAAAAACTTAGGGGTCTAAGTATAATATTCAAAATATGATAGGTTCTACGTGAGAGCTAACGAATACAGAAAGTCGTTACTGTGTGTTATCAGCTAGTTTGGAAAAGGCAATAGACATTTACATGTGAGCCTAGAACACAAATTTAAAAGTGGGCCATACGGACTGACCCAATATTTTCGTAGGGATGTTTTAGACATAATTGGTAAAACTGGCATGAAATCTAGAATTATTAACTTTGAAATTCGATCTTAATGGTTCAACGGATTCAAATTCAAATAATAAACAGAAGGGTGCATCACATTTTTTTTAATAATAAAATAATATAATTTTAATTAAACAAAATGATAAGTGAAAATAAACACTATATATGTTTAACACGTATCCAAATATAAATAACTTCAAAATGATCTCTAACGGGTGAATCGATTAGTTTAACATCCCACGATAATCCAAGAGTCTAGAAGAAAAAGAACGGGTCAAAGAAACGTTCGTGACGGAACTATATACATGAAAAAAAAAAAAAAAAACCATTTTAAGCCGGTTAAAGATAATTATCGTATTTAATTAATTGTCCATGAGTGATAATAAAAGGCAGTGGTAGCGTGTTTGTGTATGGGTTCACGCATCTTCGTGGGCCAGGCCCACATTGGGGCCACCTTACAAATCCCAATGCTTTGACATCCCCTGATTGGAGTAGTACCAGACGCTAACTCCCTCAAATCTCGCCCTCAATCACATGTTTACATCAATTTTGGTCTCGCGCATTTTCGTGATTGGATCTACATTCCGTCTAATAAATACATTTTTCTCTCCGAATCCCTTTTAAATAGGGCGAAAAATGGCTTGATGAGCGCGATGAGGAAGCGGGACTCCTTTAAATACATGTATGTTATATTGTTTAAATTATTATTATTATTATTTGTTTCAAAAATTAAAAATATCTGAATTAATTTACACAAATTTTGATAATTTTTTCACCAGTCTAGTTAAAGACAAATCATCCATAATTTATTGAATAGTATAATAATCTTCTTTTTTTTTTCAATAAGAAATCATAATTTTATTGATAATTAAAAGAAATTACAAAGCAATTATAGGTGGACAAATTATTCAACCTATGATTGAAAATTCTATAGTGTAATAATAAAAACTTGGGGAGGGGGGGGAATAATTCTAGGCTTTTTTTCTGGTAATTTGATTTTTATATATAAAAAGATCGATTTGAAAATAGGAAACACAATTTATAGCAATATGAATCTTGAAATTAATTAGAAGCATTACAACAAGCATAATAGGACAATAGCCATTGCTAGTGTTGCTATCACCAGCCTGTCACACCACCCATCATATATATTTTCTTTTCAGAAAGTAAAACATGGATTAATGAATAAATTGAATATAAATGCAATAATTTTTGACACAAATTTATTAAAATTCATCACAAACTCGTAATATTTATGTTTTTAATTTGACAAAATTCTTAAACTTGGATAGTATGAATTTGGGCCAAAATGTAGACAATAAATTGTCCTAAAATAATTTCACAATGATAATTAAACTGACAAAATTAGATCACCTCAACATGTAGTTCTTGAAATCTCGTTAAATGTGGTTGAAATAAGCCTAATAGCCAAAAGATAAGAATTCTANCATGTAGTTCTTGAAATCTCGTTAAATGTGGTTGAAATAAGCTTAATAGCCAAAAGATAAGAATTCTAGGGTTTGAATTCGACAACCACTTTTTCCCGGAATTCAACCAAAATTTGGAGATTTCAAACTCGAATTGTTGGATTGTAAGATGGTCACAACCTACATGAAATTCTATGAACACAAATCTATCAAAGCATTTAGTGAGCTTTGCACCCATTATCATGCCAAATCAAACATGTTTTACGGTTTAGTAGGGCGTATCCAATACAAGAGGCACCCGTCATTATGGGATTTGGGAAAAATTAGATAATATGCAGTTTTATTCCTGCAAGCAAAAAGACTATTTTCGTGATTCGAACTCGTGACCTTTATGTTACAATGAGTACAAGAGAGATCCTAAAAATGATTTAAGGTATAGTAATGAGCCTAAAAATGGGTNGTGACCTTTATGTTACAATGAGTACAAGAGAGATCCTAAAAATGATTTAAGGTATAGTAATGAGCCTAAAAATGGGTACGAGAGAGAAGGAGCAATGATCCTAAAAATAGTTCATACATTTGCCTCCAATATGCAATAACTAACTTCAAGCAAAAACATGGTACATCTAAATCAGTAGCATATATCACTTTCTCCATAACAATGAATATTAAGTATCTTCTGGATCCAAAAAGGAATACATAGGCTGAAAGAAATCCAACAATGCATCATAATATTATATACCTACAAAAAACAAGAGTGCCTTGTATCAAGAAGTGCAAAATATCTTATCTAGAGGAAGAGCACAAAAGACCAGTAAGTTATAGCAGAAGCTTCACACTAGCAGCCAATTCAATATTATTGGCAAAAACTTGAGAGGAATCCCCCCGGAAATTATAGCAGGACCTTCACAGTAGCAGCCAATTCAAAATATTGGAAATAACTTGAGACGAATTCCCCCATCGTTTGTAGAATGATCAAACAGAGGACTTTCTACATATTTTACTAGATTTGTATTTAAAATAATTACATAAAGAAAACGCCCCAAAGGGACCGCGGGGGGTTAAAATAGATGTGAACCTAAGTTTGGCAATGAGAGTTGTGATGGAAGTGTTGGTCCAACCACCTCTTAAATAAGCTGTTA